ATATTGTTCTCGTCGGTGCCGTTCCTGTGGCACAGATTGCCTGACGGAAATTGTCACGAGGTCAACGCAAACGGGTCCGTCGATAGCTCGTCCACAGATGGGCTTGGTTTCACCGGCTCCGGCTTGTCCGGCTGGTGACTCAGCCGATGGACGATCTCGTCGTGGAGGATGTTGAAGCACATCGCTGTCAGTGCCATTCCTGACATTATGTAGCACGAGCAGAACCATACCGTCACGTTTCTCGAGTCGGCGATGGTATGACGAGGATAAGAACCTGGTACCATGTCGCCGAAGCCGATGGTGCTCAGGCTCATGAAGCAGAAATAGCTCGCGTCTATAGATGTGAAAGAAGCGTGCTATTAACTCTTCCGCCGCACGACACTACATATTATATATAGCTTTATATTTATGTGTACACATTTTATGTTAACGTATATATCTACGTTGCATCTACGTCACAGAATTTATGCCAACAGGAATGCAGAGAAAATACGACCGCATTAATTTCTATGAAAAACTGTGCTGTCTTCGAGAAAAATGTTAATATCGAAAACTATATTGAAGTTTGCGTAGAAAATCGACGCAACACTAAGCATGTATATGTATGTGGAATTTTTTTTCATTAATTTTTTTCATTATGAAACTTACCAATAAATGACCAACCGTCCAACTTGTGCAGAGTGAATGCTCCGGCGACGATGTAACACAGCATCGCGCCAATGCAAATACTGATTGGCGCGAGTATAGTGACATTGGGTCTGTCGCCTGAGCCGAGGCTCGATACTTCGTCCTTCGGACTAGCCTTAATTTCCACGGTGCTTGTAAATGTCGATGCATTCGCGCGAACGTAAAAGGGCTCCTGCAGTTGCAGTTGCTGCTGTTGCTGTTGCGCCAGCTCCTCTTGCTGCCGTTTCTTTCTCATTCGTCGCTCCTTCTCCTGTACGTGCAAAAAGTGTTCGAGAACATGCAGAAATTTATTTATTTTTTTTTTTTTTTATATTTATGCTCCGATGCAATCTACATTCTATACGCTCGCCAATTTCATTCGTTGCAACGCGACGCTTTCGAATAAACACCGACATCGTTTACACTCTTGTATCTCGAGTGTCGGGGGATTTTTGAAGCTGATCCAATTTTATTTGAATAGCACTCTAACAATAACCAATCAATATCCCGGTAACCACATTAATCCTTATCGACTGTGCAGGACATGCATATCCTGCGCTAGGCAATGCTATCGATCCGCTGCGACATATGCGTTTCCCATCACGTATATTCGGTTTTTTCAACGGGAAAAAGACCGGCAGTCCACGATTAAATTTCTTTTTTTTTTATCGAGTAACGACGCAAAATTCACGACGAAAAGCATGCCTTGTTCCCGCTAACCTGCATCCGCCTCTCGTCGTAGCAACAGTAGCCGCAATTCGAGCAAAGACAGCAGCAAAGGGCTCGTGTGAAGACACCTCTGGCGCATCTGGATAAGAGACCTCCCGCGCTAGATAAATAAACCAAAGTCAAGGGTATCCCGAGACTGGCATAACCCATGGTAGCGACTTTGCCCCAAGTCGACTTTGGTGCAATGCTTCCGCATCCTGTAAAAACAGAAAACAGGAAAAGTTTTATTTTATTAAAGAAGACCGCGCAAAAATAAATAAAAAATAATCTATACAAAATTATATATAATTGGCGAGAATATTTCTCTTCTTTTCGAAGAGTTGCTTCGTTGTATAATACAATAACGATATTGCAGCAAGGAAAAAGCGGCGGTACAGCCGTAGTAGTTAATTTGATGCAATATTAGCTTTCCGGATACTTAAAAGTTAATATGCATAGCGGTACGTTTATTCACGCTAATCAATCACTGCGATAATAAGAACTTTGTGTAACGTCCCAAGTAAATTGATTTGTGCGAATATATGTATAATGTGTGTGCGCGCGGGTGTGAATAAGCGCCTAAAATGAGTTTGTTCAGAGCACGGTTTAGAAGATGATATCTAGATTCAAAATTATTTCTATTTCTATTATCTTATGATGAATAAATTTTAAACATTCATCAAGAATTCAAATTATTACCACTTGTCCCAACGACTTTGCTCGAGATAATTTCGAGACACAGGTCTTCTTATTGCGGTTCATATAACCGCAAAGAGCAAAGTTGATTAAGCTTCATAAAATTTATATCTAGGTCAACTGAAACTCGCCTCACGAGAAAAGTTAGAACCTAAAGCATTCATAAAAATTCGTGGAATTTTCGGTATCGTAAAAGCTTAGATTTCAGCAAACGTCGATCAATTGTAATCTCCAAAAACGGTTCTCGCAATCGAGCGGCGGAATTTATAGTACGCAGCGGCATTCAATCGGGTTGTGCTATCCGGGGATTGATAAAAATATCTACAAAAAAACCTAGAGTTTTTCTTCAATTTTGCAAAACAATCAAAAGCGTTGTGTGTGTTTAATCAAGATTTAATAAATTTTGACCCATACTACTGCGACGCAGTGAGGCAAGTTGCATTAAAAGACTATATATATCCTGTGTGTTTCTGATTTATAATAGAAAAATTGTTTTTTGTGACAGCTAATCTAATCTTGACAAATTTATAAAGATAAACACCTATACATATTTATAAAATATAATATCAGAGAGGAATATATGCTGATATTATTAACATCGAGAGCATTAATTCCATTCGTCATAAAATATTTTTACGATACTTTGCGACAATTAAAAATTTCCCACTAAACGAATTATTAAAACAAATGATGCAATTTCTGTCATGAAAAATACTGATGTTTATGAAAATATATATTATGGCTTGATGCATTCAATATACCGTATACAATGTAAGCGATAACGAATATCCATTTTCATATTTTGTAATATTGCATCATATTGAGAGAGATGAATCGATTATAATTCAAAGGGATTTGCAAATGTACGTGTGTGTGTATGTGTGTGATGTATGTTTTCTAAAAATGTTTTCTAAATTTTATATACGAGTTAAAAAATTGTATTTTTCCGCCAACAATTTCTGATAAAACATTAACGTTTTCAATCGCTTACAATCAATTAATTTTACTATCGCGAAAGTTTCGCGAAAGCGCAGTAGCAGCAGCTGCCGTTACACTTTAATGCTCCGTATTTTATTTACAACCTTGATTATATATACAGTTTTCCAAAACAGAATAACAACATTAAGTCTTGTGAGGTTATTTTACCGCCGACAAACAGCATCATTAATCTCTACGGATAAATAGAAGCTCATTCTTCCAGAAGAGAAATGGGAGAAAAAAGATACTTTTCCAAAAACGCGCATGCTTTTAACTCTCGTGCGCGAGGCTATAGTACATTCGCGCATCGCTCAATCCCAATCTCGACAGGTTGACCTTACGGACGAAGCGATAGAGGTGAACACAGAAGCGCAATATGCAATCGCGCGCCTGGATTTTACGAGTCGATCCAAAAATTCACATAGAGATAGAAGGTTCGACCGATGGAAAGAGCGAGAAAAATAAGGAGGGAGAGAAAGAGAGAATGAGAGAAAGAAAAACCTTTGCAAAGAGTTGCGAAAAGTTCTCCGAAACCTGAAAAAGCGCTCGGGGATGAGCGGTGCGAATCGATCGCTCGATGCCGTTTAAGATAATGGATCACCCATCGGAATTGGCGCTATCCCCGGTATGATAGTGGTCGGCTTAGCCGGTTGCATGGAATTGCAGCACCGCGGAAGCTTCGCGAAGGCCTATTCGTCACTGTCCCGCCGCCTTATCGTTCACGACGGTGCGACCCTTTCGGTCGTTATCTGTTGTCATTTATTAGGGAGAGCTACTGCGGATTGTCAGCTTCGGTTTTATTGGCCGGTGGAGTAAAAATATACTGCGCTCAATCGCACGGTGTACGAGAACGACGGTTCGCTTTGTCGCTTACATATATTGAATGTCGTGTATGCTTCAAGCTTCGTATATATATCAATAGAAAAAGCATATGGACAAATGATTTGTAGCGTATAAATGTAATAGCCATAGGCTCTCTAAATATTATATATATAAGCATGTGTTACATTATTGTGTTTTGTATTATTATCACAATGAACTCTCTCTCTCTCTCTCTCTCTCTCTCTTTCTTATGATGATTATTAATTTGCATGTACCAAGTAATTAGCTGTTGCGATAATAAGATTTTTGTAACGTGCCATAAATAAATTGATTTGCGTGAGTTTAAGCGTATACGCGTGAATAAACATTCAATGTAATAAGTTTTCTCAGAAAAGATGCTGGAGAAAATAGTTCTTTCTAGCCTCGAGATCATTTTTATTTAATGGAAAATATTTAATACGATCTCTCTCCATATTCGATACGGAATCATAATACGACAAGAAGCGGTGCGTGTCGCTTCAAAGAGTTATTGAAAACAATTGTCGCAAAACGGCAACCCGAGAAATCGAGGAAAATTTGATGCACCAGTAGCAATTCCCCGAAGCGCGGTATTTTGATGAGAAAATTTTTCAAACAAATTGATTGAGCGTATTTTTGCATATTTGCAGTATTCATATTTATTGTGTGTATAATCCACCGCATATGAGATATCCGCGCTGTCTATCGCGATTTCTTTTTAATCCATAACGAGTTGGACGGTATATCTTTTTGTGTACGCAACATCAAGGACGACGTGTGTTTCACTATTAACGTGCGGCTCCTAATCTTACGTTATCCGATGATTAATGAAATACCGTCCATCATGTATAATATAATACAATTTTGGAAAAATCCAAGTTTCTTAAAACGCGGTCAAATCAAATGACAAAGAGAATTAGAGATAATTCAAGAATAAAAAATCCGAGAGAATTAAATTTTAATCGATTTTATAGATTTTAATAGATTTATATGATTTATGTAACATCAGCATTAAAAATAATATAAAATTTGCAATCGTTTAAAGATAGCATCAATAATAATAAATTATGGAACCATATCTCATCTCGCTCGATGCAAGTACAGCTCAAGCCGACAAGTTGAAAGAACGTAGGAGAGGAAAGGGAATACCGGCGTGCGGAACAGTAAAATTTAATTATCAGTTAGCAATAACATGGGCTGGCGTCGAGTTACTCATTCTCAGCCGGCGGTCGAGTATACGCACTTGCAATTCTAACCATGGCAATACGAGTATTGTTCCTTATATAAAAGACGCCGCCCTCGTTAAAATCCACTTCAGTCTCTGCGGGCGCGTTGCGAGACATAATAAGCTTACAAGTTAACGAAATACTGTGTAATGTGAAACGTTTTATACATATAAACGACTATCAAATTTTTATACGGACTCTCCATTTGACTTGATTCGGCCATAAGGTTCTACAAAATGATAGTGACCAATATAATAGCCGTTATTTTCCTCGTCATAATTGAAACAACGTTTGTGATAAGTGCAGTAAGTTTTTGATATCGTCACATGAACTAACAATTTGACAAAAATATTGTAATATCGGAAATGTTATAGTGATGATATTGCTATAATAATATATTAATATAATAATTACAATAATCTAGAATTAAAAAAAATGGAACAAATTATTAGTTTTGAAAAAATAGAATACATATTTATTTTTGAATAAACTAATAATTTGATCTCTCTTTTGTTCTCAGGACAAACAACGTTTGGAATTAAAACAGAAAGTAAGTGAGATTATGAGAGTCTCTTCTGTAATAATATATATTCAATAATAATCTTAAAATAGGATATAATAATAGAGTATTATATATATTTGGTTATAATAATAATTTTTATCCATTTTTTCTATCATCTACATCATATATAGTTGACATTAAAAGATATTTTTGCTTGAAGGTAATTCGGCATAAAATCCAGGAAACAAATCCGTCCGATGTCCTTGGTACTCTTTCAGACTTCGGCGTTGTACGAAGATCTTTAAGTCCAGTGATGATCAAAAAATACAGTATTTATTTCCCAAAAGATAAACCATACCTTTCGAAAAATGACGTTAAATTGAGGAACGTGATAGAGAAATTAAAAACATCGGTGATACTCCGAGACAACATACTGTACATTTTCTCATACTTATTACACGGTCTTGAATCTGGACTCACGGAAGAGCAATATTCATCTCTACAGATTCTTCATGAGTTTCTCAAAAAGAAGAAGATTTATGTATACAATTTATTACCAATTCTATCTACATTAAACACTGCGGACAAGAATCGACAGACAATTATGATACTATTATTGCTGATAGAAAATCTACCAACCTATATTCAATGCACAGCTAGATTCTTGGCTAATGAGATAGAACAAGAAAGATTAAATTTAAACAAATTACTCAGTAAAACAACATCCGAAACGTTTAATTACCTTGTCAACATCGATTTGGGCATCTTGAAAAATAAGATAAAAATCGACGACGACGAGATGAAAGGATACGATAAATACTCGAATATTACTCAGAAAGCTCTCGGTCCAGTATTTGTGAAGCTTCTCTACAATTTACACACGCACAAGCTACCTTTGTCGCAAGAACTATTCGGCTTGATATTGGTAAACTTGCCAAATCCTAACGATGATCCTGTACTGGAAGAAAACATTAGATATATCTACGATTTAACCAAAAGTAATGCCATTGATCATAGAAACTGGGATTTGATTGGAAAAAATCCCGATAGCAGTGATGCTTACACACTTGTATTTTCCGTCTTATCAAAAATCCTCATCTCGGACGTAAATATAGTCGTGAAAAATGCTGCGGTTTACGTTTATCATCATTTAAAAGTTGTGATGACTCCGACCTATGACAATCCGAACATGATGTATCTGCGTCATCTGGTCAAACATGATATAGATATCGGAATGCTACTCTCGGCGATCGTTCCTCACGAATTCGGTCCGGATGCGATCAGCTTGAAAAACAGTCTGGTAATGTATTTTCAGTATAGAATATACAGGTATAAAGATATGAGTGAAATTTTCAACGGATTCAACAAATTTGCCTACCGCGATCCTTTAGATCTTCTCATCGCATATCTAACGAGACTTGTGAATCATATTCCAAGCCATCCAAGTATTAATCTGCAAATGATACAAGAATCAGCTGCGGCTCTGCTATCAATCTTGATTATAAAAAAGTCTACCAGAACATTTACGCCGTTTGTATCACCCGAGATTGATATATTGATACTCATAGAATCTCTGAAGATCCCTGACGTAGATCCGACGTTTCAACCGACATTAGATTCCATAAAATCTGAATTAATCGCACAGCCGCAATTATCTGTGCTTGTGAGTACCTTATTGCCGACGAAGAAATACAACTGTCTTATACCAATACAATGTTTGATGTCTATGTTTCAAAAGATACATAAATTACGAAATAATCTACCTATATCACTACTAACAAATATTCAAAATATATTATATATTTTGAAGACTAGATTAACCCATCAATTCCAACGTTATTTTAAACCGCAATTTTCATTTTATCTTCCAGCCGGTGAGACAGATATTATGAGAAATTATGAGAATATTCCTTATTTCAATGTGAGCAATTATGAAATTAGAGAGACAGAGAATAGGCAAAAAGTACCAAATAGCTTATATGAAAGCTTATATGGATGGAACTTAAATAATTATTATAATATGACACCTTTTTTGCCGGCTGGATTAGGAAATACAAGAGAACAGACTACGGAAAAAAATAAACAGATGGAAAATATTATACATCTCAAACCTACAAAAACGAAAGTGGAATCGCCTACTACTGCGCAAGCCACCGAACATTTAAAACCAAGTAAACCTTCTCAAGAAAATTTATCGGATCAGCTTTCAATTTCTTCATTAGCGACAACATCGATATATTATGATTCTGAGATTACTGATAATAAACCATCACAAAAGCCAGAAAAAAAGCAGTCTCGCCAATTAATATCAGTTACACCGAATATTATTGAAGACCAGTTCGATGTTGGCTCTTCAAATACAAAAGAGGAAGAAATCTCACCCCAAACAAGTACAAGTGAGAAGAGTGAAAGTCAAACATATCCAATATATCCAATCAAAGAGACAGATAAAGATATCACAACTAAGGAACCTATACGATTAGTGACAACAATACGTAAAATCAAAACGACGAGTTTTCCTCAAAAAATGTCGAATATCGAAAAACTAACTACTACTACTACGACGATATTACCAAATATAGAATTGAATGTTACTGAAAAACCAAAGTCCAATGCTGGCATTTCACATACAAAAGAGGAAGAAATTTTATCCCAACCGAATACAAGCGAAGAGAATGAAAGTCAAACGTACTCACCCGAGGATGTGAAAAAAGATGTCACGACGAAAAAACCTACGCAACCAACGACGACAATACGTAAAACTACGAAAGGAGAAACGAGCATTCCAGAGAAAACGACAAATGACGTTCCTGAAAATGTAACTGCAATAATATTACCACCAAGTATAGAAGCTAATGAGCCTCTTAAAATACAATTATCCGAAAGTGGCGTTCCAGTTGTAATGCCTGACGATCGTAATAAGACAGTGCCCGGACTTGTTATACCGCAAATCACGGAACTTCTGAAACCTGTGAACTTAAACGATTTCTTTTCAAACGATGACACACCGATAGTGACACAAATTTTACAACCATTATCCTTTATATTTGGCAAAAATTATATTAAGAAGATCTTACAAGATGAGGATATAAATGTTTATTCCACGAACATTGCATTATTATTAGCATTACTTAAAAAAGCCACGACCTATCAACAAGTAACAACGAATACGAATTTGATGAATTTAATTCAGAAATATATCTTCACTATAGAATATGTCAGTCCAACAATATTGTTACCCATCGTAGTTTCGTCGAAGAACCTAGTATCCAAAGTCGTTTATTCCACGTTTAGTGTACAAAATTTGACCCACAGTGCAATCAGCGAAAAACCACCCGTTAAAGCTTTGCCCGACACTGTTACCATACCACTCGTCAATCCTAAAATATGGTTGCAGTCTATAAATCCATCTGATCCTTACGCCGATCTTCTACCTACTTTGGAAGAGGAAAATGCTTTCGCAAAAATAATACAGCCTCTTAAAAATATTTTGACATCTAAAAAAGTCGTGGAAATACTTGGACCAGATTTCCAGCCGCTGGTGTATCCGAATAAAGGCACACTTTTGATAGCGCTTCTACGAAAACTGCGAAAAACTAAAACGATTCAATCGGACTCTGAGCTAAAATCCTTGATTAACATGTATATTAATGCTATAGAAATACCGTCGATAAATATCCAAGTGTCCGAAGATAATCTCGTGAAAATGATGTCTGAAACTACAGGTCAATGGCAGCCTGAATTAACAAGTTTAATTGTTGCTCTGCCAACGGCTAAGAATATCATAGAATCTGCTATGTTACATCAGATAGAAAAATTGCTTGTCGATCCAACTGTTCTGGAAAAATTGCACATAACTAAACCTCCATCAACTATGTCTCGCGGAGAACTTCTGCATAAAATTATTCTGAGTGCATTGTCCCGTAAAACAAATTTGAAAAAACAAGTTCTGAAAGCATTCAAATATTATAAAGACAAGGTCGAATTTACTGATATGGGTGCCTTGCCCATCATGTGGATGTGGGTCGAAACGTACGTAGTTAAGACCGAAATAAATCTGGGCAGTATGATTCAGCAGACAGTGAACTTTAATAAATTGACGTATAAAGAAAAAATAGCCTATAACGATCTAATCACATACTTGGCTCAAAATCCAAATCTTCTTCAGGATAATGAAGATTTTGATTTCCAGAAATATAAGACACAAGGACAATTTATTAAGGGTCTATTTAAACATTTATTGAGAAAGCGGCAGATTAACAATAAGATTAAAAAGAACATTCAAAAGTTATTTTCACGCGTGATTTTAACTGGACCAGGAGCGATCGTGATACCAAGTTTTTCGGGATTTTAATATATTATTAAATAATATATTTTACTATTGTAAATTGAAGAGTATTAATTAGACAGATCTGATTTTAATTTAGAAGAAACAAAAAATTTCACACTCAAGTACATCCGAAGTTGAATATGTTATTTAATAAAAAATTAGCTTAAAATATTCACACATTATTTGTAACGCTAATCAATTTGCTATATTATTATCATCTTATGGAATCTTTAATAATTGCAAATATAAGAATGCGATTATAATTTAAGGCTGGGAGACATGTACATGTATAAGCCTGTTTAGCACAATTTGTAAAATAAAGAAAAATATAGAAATAGAAAAATGTACTGGGAACTCTTTATTCATTAAGTTGAAAAAGTTCTTATAGTAGCTTCATAATAGATAGTTTCCAGTTAAGTCCTTTCATTGACGAAAACGACGAGAAGTTCTCTGCGAAGTTCAAGACCGATAGTTTTCCAGTAAGTGACAATTATTTGTAACTTCTTGTTACATTGCAACCACAGTGGAACACTCGAAAGTTTATACACTTTGGGAAGACGTTTATAAAGTGTTCCAAATCGAACCTCTACTTCCCTTTCAATCCTTGAAGATATATAAGTGCACGTATAAAATAGTTTCTTACAATTTATGAACTTTAAATTATGAATGTAACGATTTATATCATCATTACAATTATATTTAATAGCTATCATAACTTTATAATAATATACATATTCAGTTTTATTTTATTTCTAAAAATACTAATAATAATAAGTTCATAAACTTATTATGCACTGTTAAAATTACGAAATATAGACGGCAAATAGGTAATTAAATATACTTGATAGAATTCCGTCTATATCAATATTGAAACTCTCTGGAGATTATTCATGGTAAATCCTGATATGTCGCAAATACTTGCAACAAGTTTGTTCCAATTATATGCGGCATCGCTATGTCTTCATAAATGCGTTCTAAGAATTCTCTCTTCATAAATTTGTCATAACAATTTGGCAACTAAAATTAATTCCGGAAGACAAAGCGATAGACAAAATTTCACGTCCATTTGCATATATTGGTTAAGTGTCCCATTCAAGAACTTTGAACCACCGTCTTAAAACCTTAACTAATGTAAAGCATTTTATCTCAACGATATGTTTAAAAAGTCACGTCACATTTATTAGTTTATAAGTAATTATAGAAATAATAGAAATAATTGATACATATATATATAGGTACATCTTTAAAAGATATCTGATTTGCTTCATAGTTCCTGATTTTTGCAAGTATCATTGATATTATTACTATTATTATGGTGTTTTAATGAAATGAATGAGTACCGCGTTATGCATTCCAATCAAAGATGGACAGAATAGAAGCATACAGAATAGAAAAAAAAAGAAAAAATAGACATACGAGACGTACAGTGTAACGAGGTGGGTTCGCCGCAATAAAAATGAAACAGACATGTGACACGCGAAGCGGAACGAAACGAGAAACGGAAGCGGCGGTAGGGATTATTTATTTTGCACGGCGACCGCAATCCGCGGGGATATTTTCCGCGAGACGCCCGGCCAAACTGTCTGGAAAACGAGGAAAAATTACATCGGCGAAAAATAATAGATCGCGACACAGCTTTGGTCGTAAGGCTGTAAACGGCTGTATGCACCTGTATCAATCTGTATCAAGATAAAGGCAACGATAAAAATTGACGCTGATGGCGCAGATGTGGCGAGAGAGGAATCAAACATGTATACATTTATGAATGATGAATCATTTAAATGGTTATATATATTTTTATCTATAACCATTATATGGTTATAGATATTTTTTAACTTTTTTGCATTTTTTAATATATGATCGAAGAATGGCTACGAGAACATAAATATCTTGAATAACGTATGTCATTGTGATCTTTGATACTTTAGACAAAACTTGGAAAGTTTTGTCGAGATGATAATGAGTCAAATTTTGAAACGAAATCTCTCGGATATTATCATTCTTGTTGCGCAAAAAGCGTAGTAATTCCAGACTTGCGATCCTACCAGTTTCCCTGTCGACGTAATAAATGAAAATCCGGCCACACTCCAGCCGCCATCAACATCCTGGAAACAAGGATATTTCGAGAGGCACCTGTTTACGGTAACTTATCGCGCAACACCATTTCACCTGTGTTTAATTTAGCCCCCAAAATAATTTACATACAGAAGGACGATGGAGTTATACGGCTCGCTCGCGCAATAACATCTCGAAGATGAGCCGTGTGCTGGGCCTGGGCGGATGCATCGCACGTGCAGACATGTATCCTGGGAGGGGATTGCATACCCACCCTCTGACGATACGTCTCCATGCCCGACATCGTTCCTGCCGGAGGGTTCGCAGGATCCCGCATAACCCCCAAGGTCGTAACGGTAAGTCTCTCGGCGTGAGGACCCGAAATTAATAACGCGACCCGGCGCAAATACGGCGCACATAATTAAAACGATATTACGATGTGGAGCTGCCGCAGTATCGTCTACCGGGCGTCGTCTACATCGAAGATGTTATTTAGCCGCGCTCCCCGAATTTAGATGCTGAAAGCAGGTATTACGTTCTAATTCGCAACTTGCCCACGGCTCATCAAGGATGTGATTAGAGAGCGTGTATAAGACAACAGAGACAAGCGCAGATAACAAACTAGTGAACGTTCTGAACACGTGAAAATATTTAATCTAATTTTTACAACAGACATTCGCGATAAAAAAATAATAATATATAAAAAGACAGTTCCAATATATTTACATAATACAATATAGTTACGAAATACTAACAAAATAATCTAACTCGTTATGAGAGAAATGAGACAACATAATCATTAAATTTTAGTCAAACTTTTTTAGTGGCAAAAAATGCGATCATCTTCATAAAGCAGAAATATGAGCAAAAAATATTCTCGGGCACGTAGAACATGCGTGACGGTGATCTAAAATACGGTAAACTTGATAAGAAGTCTGTTGGTAGACTAGGTCAGGATACTCACGTTACGTTTAAGATGAATGAAACAAGACAAGAAGCGCAAAAGGAAAGAAACGTGGCGAGATGATACAGGACGAAAAGTATTAAAAGAATGAAAGAGAGAAAGAGAGATAACGAGTCTTAAGTTTTATCTCTTTCGGCGTTTCTTTACTACTAACAGGAAGCCTTCAAAGTTTTACGCAACGTACGTTAAACGTTTATGTATCTTTTTTATGTTAGCTGTATTGAAGTCACTGATATATATATTCAACTATTATTTGATTAATAGAAGAAAACACTGTGCGAGCGATATTTAAATAATTTGAACTAAATTAATTCGTGGATCCCCTGCTATCCCTTACACGCCACGGATTACATATAGTTCGTTCCTGTTTAAAGACGCTGTTACTCCCATTGAGAGTCCCTGCGCTAAGAGACAGGGTGCAACCCTGATGTATGAGATACTCCTCCGCGGGTGTTTCTACATGGCGGCACCGTCTCAGGGAAATGTTACCCCATAAAATATATCTCGAGCGTTGGCTTATGCCGCGCGAAACCCAGCAAGATGTTTCTATTTCATAGAAACGCTCGTGTTCCGGTTTTGCGGGGCACGTGAAGGGTAGCATGACGGAAGGCCGGAGCGTTGATAGGACTAGACTGTAAATCACATGGGAGCTATTCGATGTCTCGCTATGTCCCACAATTCCAGTCCAACGAGTTTACCAGCACTACTCAACGTTATCGCACGGATTTTAAGGACAGCTTATATTGGTAACCGTTCACTAATATATTTTTTCTACATATTTTTTAAGATAACACTCTTAATTAATATTTAATGAAAATGGCACAAACAAATGTACATTATGTGGATATAAAAGTTTTCTTTCATTTTTCAAATCTAGAATTATATCATTATATAAAACAAATAAATTAGATAAGATATATAAAAACGATAATATACAGATATCGACAAATATAGATGTATAAAATAGTATTTTATTTATTTTATTTTGTGGTATTTTAAATTTATATTACTCTGTTCGATTTCGCGATTATAATACTAAATATATAGCGTCTATAGTTTCGAAAAATCGTTCACGCTACTCAAGTACAAAACAAGTTACAACCATATTATAAAGGCGCGAGCCGATTGGATGTGTAGAGACAACGAAGTAAGGGGATAAAGACACGATAGAGTCAGACCATAAATCATGCTCCGACCATTCGCCGCGGCGTGCCTATATTGTACTACCGGGTGTTATCGTTATCGTGGTGATTCTCACAGCGATGGAGAGCAGTGTTTTATGAGTGAAAGCAAATTGTCAACTTTTACAAAATATGTGCCGAACCATAAGGAACTAGCAGCGCATATAATATCGCTCTGGTTTATTCAATTACTTTTATTCGACTTAGAATAACGAGAATATTCAAAGACGAGCACGATAAACGTCGACATACTAAAATCGGAACAAATCACATCTGTAAAATCCTAAACATTGCAGTTGTTTGTCTTTCCGCCATCTTCATAAGGAGCTTATTTCCCCGCTAGTTTGTCATTCCCCTAGCGCGATAACGTCGTATCCTCAACGCTTCGCAATATGAAGCGACGTGGAACGTCAACAAGGATCCCGTAAAGTGCACGAAAATTCCACGGAATCCTGGAAAAATTTATGGTCCGGATGTTTACCAATGTGGAATTCTCTCAGGCACCCTTGGACAGTATAAGATAGTATAGGACCCCACCCTCCTTCTCGCCCTCGCTACTCAGGGGGTAGCTATTAGTAGTAATTACTAGAGCTATAAGTCTCTGCCTAATACTTCTCTCCTCTAGCCTTCCGTCTTTCTACCTACAAGCGGCATTCTCCCTTTTGTCGCTTTTCTAGAGTAAACTATCCCTCTTCATTTCCACGAGAACTTACTCTTGTCTTCATTTTAAAGTGATAAGACTTGATATTAAATGAGTAAAGAGTGAAGATTCCTTATTATATATTTCATTAGGTAATTCCTGAGGAAATACTGTGTAAGTTTAATATGAATCCTTAATTTAAGAAGTGCAATGCGGCCGAATGAGCAACTAGTGAAAAGCTCCAGTGTGAAATATTTGAACTTTATTCAGAAAATGCTCTGTCATAGATATAGCAGCAATATATCTGATGTAAAAATTTGTTAAATTTGTTATGCATTAAATGCAATATATACAAAATATATATATATATATATGTATGTATGTATGTATATATAATATACTTTAAAAAATATATATTTATTTTAAGTAAGTTAAAGTTACCGAACATAGATAGATGTAAACATCAATATAATACACGAACATCAATAACTTCACAAGCTAATGTTTATGAGTTAACTAAAATAAAAGACACGCAAAAAAAAATATTTTTTGTAAGAGGCATTAAAAGGACCAGGAGAGTTAACTTTTTGCGAAGACAAATTGCCCTACGTGCTGCATAATGCACTTCGTTAACGTTTATAACCGGTAAAGAACATTGTACTCTCGCACGTCGAGCGCGTGTTACTCGCAAAACTACTTAAAAAGCCTGGAGGACGTTATGGAGGTTTCCACGCAGAACTATAGTTTTTAATTACGCGCCCTTTTTACCGAGATTTTTCTTTCGCAATTTTTTTTTTCACATCGAATACACAGTAAAGGCGTAACTTCAGTTTCGTACCGTAGTTATGTTATTTTTTTAGAAGCAGAAATAATACGCTGTTCTCTAATTCTTGTTCCAACAATGTTCTATTTGTTATCTTGAAAACTGGCATGGATAAAGGATTTACATATTTGATCACTCAGCGTGGTCCGTTTTATTAAAATTTTACACTTTCATTCGTGGCCTCGTGAGTAAAATTTATGACGTTTGCGGTGTATGCGAGCAATGGATTGCTAATGTCACAGTGCGCAAGATTTTTTGTTGTCTGACAAAAGATGGAACGTCATAGTAACTATTTGTTTCACGAAACTTAATTATCGATACAAAAAAAAAAAAAAAAAAAAAAAAAAATAATATAATTATGATTTTTTATATCACGAATAAATACAATTTCTGTACAATCTTATTTATCATGCGATGTAAGGTATTCTTAATTATGTTCTTATCATTATTATTGAAGCAAGCTTGACAAGAACTTAATAATCTCATTATGAGATACAATTAAAATCATTATAATGATATTCTTTCCATCGAATCCCATTAGTGGCTTCATCATTATCTGTTTTCGATATCTAAAGCCTACGTCAACCCTTTTCTTCTTTATCTTTCCTCGATACGAACAGAATAACACCCTTTCGCTCCGCGCTTCCTTCCTGTGAAATTCATTAGTCTTCATCAAGAGTTATCCGCAGCTGTGCCAGGTGTCGATATTA